CAATTACTAGATTACAGCCTGGCTAGCATTTGAGGAGTGATAGTAAAAAACAGCACACTGTGAATGACAACATAGACTTGCCACACTGCCTGGGTTGAGCTGTGCAATCACAGAGCAATGCTTAACTTCTCTGTGAATCAGTTTTTTATCTACATGAGGCTAATGATGGTACCCATACCTTGGGCTATTATGAAAATTCAATTAATTAATGTTTTGTGAAGTGCGTCAACATCACCTGTTACTCAGTAGCAGTTGTAAAAAAGGTAACAAATTTTTTACTGTTTTTTTAAGTTAAGAAAATTGGGATACTTAGAATTTGCTAAGGTAATGAGTGAACCTCATGTTCATAAAAATGGTAAAAATACAAGCATGAATTAAAACTGGAAAATGTCCACTTTTAACAGTAAGTCCTCTATTTCAATACAATGCATTGGTATCCTTTTTAATTGCCTTCTGATTGTAGGATGTAACTATTTGACTCCCACACCGGTTGATGTAATTTTGTAATCAATGGTCCTGTTTCAGATAATAAACAAATTGTATTCTGAATGGTTGAATAATTTCTGATACAAAATTTAACTACCTAACAATTTTTAATCTGAGGGTATCAAATTGATATAAAGGGAAGTAACAATTTAGAGAATGCATGGATACAAGATTAGTTTGCTTTGTTAAGGTTATTATTCAGTTCTTAGAAAGAGAACCAATAGAAAATATTGTCCTACATTTAATGAAACACTTTCTAAGCACCAAAGCCAGGAATCAAAACTGTATATTAGGAAATGTAATGGCATTTTAGTTATTGCAAGTCATTTTAGCAGATAGATAATTAGTACCCTTCATGTTTAAATAGATTTTTACATTAATTTATGAGAAATCTATGAATAGACTATGTTTTGTAGTAAATGAAATCTTAGGTAGTCTCCTGTTGTTTATAAAATATAATTTCTTTAAAACTACACTTTGATATGGAACCCCACACAGGACATAATAGCTAGTTGTCAAATGCTTAAAAAATATGATCATTTCATGAATGTATTTCTATTACAGGTGTTTTCTTGGAGAAGGTTCAGTAAACTTTTGTTATGTGCAATAGTAACGTAGATTAATGTATTGATGAAGTACAACATTGAGCCTTTCTTATTTCATAATCTTAATTCATTCAACTTTTAATAAGCATTTATGTGTTACATTGTGTGAGGTGCAATGAAAATGTAAAACATTAGTTAATTTTATCCAGTTAATTAATATCTAGTCCAATTTGATTTATTTGGGATAATTGCTAAATTATACATTAAAATTTCAAACTGCAAATAAAAAAACTATTTGGGTTACTTAAGCTAAATTTAGACTGTAAGTCTTCTGTTATTTACATTTAATGTACTAAACACTGCATATCATGTCACTTTATGAAACTAAATTTTCATGCTTTAGATGATGTTAATATTGACTTGCAGAAAGATTAAATCAAGCTGATTTAATCTATCCATCACCTCACCTCTTTGTCATGTTTTTGTGTTGAGAATGTTTCAAATCTACTCTTTTAGCAATTTTGAAATATGTAATACTTTTTTAATAACTGTGGTCACGTTGCTGACGCAATAGATCACTAAAACTTATTCTTCCTGTCTAACTGAAACTTTATATCCTTTGTCAAGTCTTGTCATCTTAAATTACTTTTGTGTGTATTTGAATACAGAGTGACAAGTTTCTTGTTTTACTTATTGTCCTTACGTTAAGTTTGGTAAAATGGAATACGAATTTGAGTGCAACCGGTAAACTTAGAAAAACTAAGCAACAAGAGGGAATCTTTTAAATTAATTTGAGCATTTGTATAAAGATTTTATACTTGAGTTCCTTTACTTTTCTAGACTTAATAAAAATGTAAAATTATTTAATAATCTTTAAAATGCTTAAATTGTGATTATGTTAATATCTCTACTTTCTATAGATAACATATTCTTTAACAAGTGAATTCTGTTTTGAAGTTATTCTATTTGCTTATACTTTGTACTTATTCCAAAAGACTGGTCAATTTTACATTTTCATCTCCCTCTCTGAATTTAATAAACTCTTTTATATTTAGAGTTTAAAAACTACAGGTGGATAACAAGTAATAAATACAAGGTCCTTCTATTCAATTGTCTTCAATAAAAGTGATGTAATCTCAAAACCAATTGGTTAACCATTTATCCCCCTGTTAAGCGACACATAAGGCTGAGGGAACATTTTTATATTACACTGATGCTATAATAAATGGGCTGATTTAATACTGCTGGTTGCAACTTATAGCATTTTTGTCTACTTTAAAGTTAGGAACTTCATGGTTATTTTGGCATTCTTCCTGTGAATTAAAATTAAAATAATGTAATTAGTCTGTAAAATTTAAAGTGCTACATTTACGAATAATGGAATAAAACCCAAATTATATTATTTTGAGGTCAATGACAGGTTCGCATGAACTATTTTCTTTTCTATATCTTTCTCTTTTAAAAGAAAATACAGCTTTCTTCCTACTGCAGAAGTATCAGATTCTTGCAGCATCCATGACACTTGTAAGCATTTAGTGGTCAGACACCACTACATATCCTTCAAATGATGTGGCCCAGTGAAGCTGGAAGGTGTCGTCACGGAGCCAGGCAGCCTGGTATCTCAGTCATCCACCAGGACAGAGCCAGCAGGCCTTAGCTGGTGTGCTGAATCTTGACTAAAGTGGGAAATGGATTTTGCATTTTGAAAGTCAACTCTTCTAACATCGAATCTTAGGACATACCTATTAAATAAAAGTGCATTGAGAGCTTCAGAAATTATTTACTGGATCAAATTTATAAAGCTCCTCTGCCAAAATTACCTTTAGAATAAGTTAAATCTTAATTTGATTATTCCTCTGGCTTTCTGAATTTATACCGCATTATACATATTTTTAAAAGTATGAGTAAATGTATGTGCAGAACTATAACTGTGTTGTCTGAATTACTGACTATGTATGATATATGCTAAATGAAGTATACTTGTAGGTCATTTAAAAGTGGTAAATATTAAAATGACAGAATATTAATCACCAATGCCCACTGCCCATCACACTGAGTCTGCCATTTGGATGTTTAGACAAGCGAAAAATTCCAATAAAATAAAAATACTTTTCATGATTTTTTCCTCATTGGCCTCTTGTGCTCACTGTTAAAAGCACAAGGGGATTTAGATTCTTGTTTCTTCTATTGTCCTATTATCATCTTTTGACACCACGATTCATTAACTCATCTCCCACAGATGTTAGAAAAATCAACTTACAGGGTTTTGTTACAAGTTCAAAATTCCTCATGCCTACTCTTGGCCTCTCCTTAACACTAGAGCCGCCTAAAAAAGTGTAGAGAATATCTTCCATTTCTTGAAACTTTAGTTACCTAGGTCTGCTGGAAATACAATGAAAAGTACACACACACACACACACACACACACACACACACACACCCCCCATTTAATTCTATAAGGCTGCACAAGGTGGGCCCCATCCTTTAGACATCATTCTGATTGGGAAAATACCCTGCTAGATTTTCAAACCATTTGCTTTACTAATGTAACACTTTGGTGGTTAGGCTGGAGTAGCCTAGCATCTGGAATCATGATGTTTTATCATGAGAAACTGAGAGGATACTGTTTCTCTTTTCTAAAAAGAGAAAGAAACCCTTTGCTAGGGCTCATTAAAAAATGGTTTTAAAATTGGGGCCAATAAAACACGATTGTCAATTCCTACAACCTTTTTATCTCAGCAGCATTTTTAAAAGGCATCATTTCTCTCTCCCCTGAAATCCTACTTGCAACACACACAGCCACGTTTCTAACTAGCAACAACAGGAGCAGCAACAACTCCCCAACTTCTTTGTCACTGGTGAGCAGGCACACAGCCCAACTGGAGCTAGAAGCCTCTCCACTCCCCCATCCCAATTTTCAACTGCACTCTTCTCAGAAATGGGAGTTACTAGGCAAGATTCACCCCATCACCCTGAAATCTCTTGCTTTACTCTCCTTTAAAAGTGAAAAGGAAAGGCTTTCCACAACATAGAAAAGTTTGCCTGGGCACATGATACCAGCATTTCCAATAGTGACCCTAATAGACAAAGCATTTTGGAGCACTGACATCCACAGGGAGCAGATCCCAGTCATGAAGAAACAACTCGAGTGTGTGACAGCAAGACCATGAAAGCCTTCCTTTGCAAGCATCGCCTGGGCTCTTCTGCTCACCCAAGGCAGAACTGAAGAGGGGTGGAGTGGGCATTCCTCACCACAGGATCCCTTTTGTAGAACAAGCCCATCTTGAGATTTGTAGGTAGAACTGGCTTAGAGAGACTGCCAAAGCTACACTTCTAACTCTCCTGGCCTTTGGCCCCACCTGCCTGTCAATTTCAGTCTGAGTCCACAATTCCCATGTTTACCGCTCTGGAGATATCTAGAACCTCGGCTTTGGAGCGCTCAGGGATGCTGTTAGGCCAGTTCCCTATTGACCTTTCAGGGACTCTGAAATCAACTTTCCCCACACACTCTGAATTGTTTGCGTTTGTTTTCATCCTGCCAGAGCCACCCGC